GATCTCCTGAGAGCCGGTGCAGCGCACTGAGGGACAGGGGCACCGCTTGGCATCGCTGCTGAAGGAAGATCCAAATCCAGCAAGCTTGCACCTTGCTTCTCAGCATTGCTGCTGTTCATTCAGCCGAGCTGTTTTCAACCCAGGGCTGACAGACACCTCAAAGTCAGTCCCCAGGCTACCTCTGAAAAGCTGGCAAAAGCCAACAGAAAAGATACCCAGTCAATGGACGCCACGAAGGAACCTTTGTGCGTGCAACTTCTCGGGGATCTTCCAGGACAACAGTTGTGGGGCTCAGAAATCAAAAGTTTGAAAATCACTGAGATAGCTGGTTAACAGCAGACAAACAAGTTGCAAGAGTTACATGGTTTTCTACCTTTAGCTACAGCTTTTTCTCACTCTACCAGGCAATTCATCACTAGCAAAATTTTGATTAGAGCTGGAGAGAAAAGGAGAATTTCCAATCCAAATTTCAGCAGCTGCCAGCATACTCATTCACATGAACTTTTTGAGAACATTTCAACTATTTTAAAAAGAAGGCTAAAGAAATTTGCTTGCAGAAAGAAGGTGTTGCTGTGAGAAGACAGATGCTGTTCCTCATTTTCAGCAATACTTCCACGTAATAGCAAAATATTTGGCACAAAGCACCCCATTAAAGAAATGCCATCGCTGATGGCAGATGGTAGTTTTCATCCCAATCTGTAGCATCCTGCTAATGTTAGATGTAATCTGATTGCAAACACAGCACGTGCATTTTTTCCAGATGAGCAAGCTTTACATAATTTTTCATTGCCCTTATTTTAGTTTGTTAACAAACATCATCCTTATGAGCAAACAGCCTGATTACAGTGTTATTAAATGAATCCCTTCTGCTCACCCCACCCTTGCAACCTTCCGGCACCTGGAAATACCCTGTTATATCAGCAAAGCAACCTTCCCCCCCCCCCGCCCCCCATCGTACTACCTACTTCTAACGCCTAGTTTTAAGCTGCTCATACTATCGAGCCAGGAGGGCACCTTGAATGAACCTGACTTAAGGCTATGGCACTAAATTACAGCAAGACTTTCCCCATTTAAGAGGCCTGGGACATGTTCCAGGCAGCAGGTTGCTCACCTTTACTTTAGAGCAAAATGAATTCAATCATGTATTGATTTGCCAAGTACTTTTCCTGCAGCGGGAACTCACTATAGATCCTCCTATAAGTTTGCTGAAGTGTAACTCTATGCAGCAAGAGCTATGAAAAATGTTTTCTTCACACAAGTTGCACTTCTATAAAACTCAGTGAACAAAGCTGTGCACTTGCCAAATAGTGGGTGCTCGAGTTATGAAAGGGAGTTTGTTTAACAGAAAACAAGTGAATACGTGTCCGACTGCCTTTCTCTTCCTCTTTGCTGGCTGAGGGACAGGATTCAGTGGAGGCCAAAGACTTAGTTTTGCTAACGAAAACAGCGGCAGACTCACTCAAAGTTGAGACCATGTGAACACAGGGCATTAACGCTCATTCAGGGCAGGCATTTCAGAACTAGCCAGGTTTCCTAGAGCCATACCAAAGGGATTTGTAAAAACTCTTCCACTAAAATCACTTTTTTCTACTAATTCTCAGAGTCCCTCTCCCCAGTAAAAAATATAAAACAGTGTCACAGATTTGCTTTTAAACAATGCTCCCATTCGCCACCAGATTTGAATAGGCACCACTTGGATGCTTTCAACTCTGTTCTTCAGAGAAGCAAGACATGTACTTGTCAAATACACAGTGCCTAGCTTTTAACAAGCTTCCAAGAGCAAAACGCAGTATGTTTTTCCCTACCCTCTCAAGCCCTGACAACATACAGGTGCAACTTGTTCCAGCAGTCCAGTAACTGGAGCTAGAATTTAACAAGTCACATTATCTTGATTTCAGCAGCCATCCATACAGGTCCTCCAACCATCTCCAAGCATTCTGAAACACTCAGCATCTGGTCTTGGTTCAGCTGAGTCAGTTACACAGCACCTGTAGCGAGGAGGCAGGGGAAGGCATGATCATCATCAAGGAACAGCAACAGGAGAGATGGATCTAGGTCACAAATTCTGCATTTTCATGATGGGCACCAGCTACATTCCCTACCCCATGATACATAAAAAGTCTACGTAAGGTGCTCACTGCACCACAGGTACGACAAAGGGTTTGAAATTCCAACCTACTGCAGACTTCCACTACTAATCTCCTCCGATGGTCCACGTAACACAGATGATTTATGAAACCTCCAAAGCAACTGGGCAGTAGAAATAAAGACAACAGAATAAACTTCATCTTTTTTATTCTGCAAAGCAATATGCACATCTTAACAAACACAAAAATTAATCTAGGAGAGAAATGTCATTTCCAAATCAGCTATTAACTGTCATGCAACAAGACAAGTGAAATGTAAGAACAAAACAAAACAAAAAAGCCATCTTAACCCTACAATCACCTGCAGAGGGTTGAAAACCAAGGCTCAGATTTTCTATGTAATGCCAAAGAAAAACGCAAAAGAAAATGGCAGCTTTCTAAGAACAAGAAAACACATACAAATAGAATCAAAACTGATTCAAGTCAAGTCTTAAAAAGAAAAAGAAAACAAAAAAGGAAAGATCAATATGATCTGAACTTTAATATTAAGTTTTTACTCTTCTGTTTGGCTGCATTTAACTTTTGTACATTGTGCCTAGGAACAATCCAATATTCCTCAGTATTACAGCATTTCAACCTGATGGACACCCTTACCTCTCCGCTGCAATACAGGGGTGCAAAGGGATAAACTAAGGCCAAAAAATACCACTCTTCAACATTTTCCCTTTTGCGTTTGTGGGTTGCAATCTTAGTATTTCTGGGTACTTCAATACATTGGGTGATAAACTGCAAAGCAGGCTCCTCTAATTACCAAATAGCAAAACCAGATTAAAAAAAATTCTGTTTTCCCCAACAGACCAAATTCCACTTAGAACATTTGGAGTTTGATTTTTAATTTGCTGAAACAGAAAGGACTCGGCTTTGCTTTTTTAAAGGAGTTGCGTTATGTTGGGTGTTTTCTAGGTATTTCCAGAATTTGCAACACCACCCCAATCCATTTCCTATTCCTGCCTTTGGTCCCCAGTTCAAGCCACCCTCGTAGGCAACTCTAGAAGTCAGTATTAATGCAGAAGGCTGGGTATGCGTGAATTAGGAACAGCTTGGGCAGTTTTCATGAGAAGCCGTCTACCTGTTTTGACTTCACCGATTCATTTCAGCGAAGCAGTATTAGCCCATAGCAGCATCAGGAGAAAACTGGAGGCTTCATTTTATCCCTAGACTTCAAACTAGGCCATCTCTAAAGCTTTGCCTTAACATCCATGGAGAAAAATGCATGTTAGTTAACATCACTTAAGTAACTGAAATTCTATAAAGGAAACATGTTCTGAAGAAAAGTGTGACTATTTTGCTTCAAACGCTCTGAAGACTGGTGAACTTACTGAAGCCCCATACGTATGGGCCTACAGACCAGCAGGGTACCATTCAATAGTGTCTATAGGTAATAAACTAAGAATCTTATGCCAGCATAACTGAGACTGAGATTTTGACTTGCATTTCTTCTTTTGTGTAGTTTAGAGTGAAAGGAGGAGTGAAAAAAAGCTTATGTGTATGTACGCAGACCCACACTACCTGATGAGAAAGCTGAAAGACAAGATGAAAGGTCAATTAAGGCAATCAAGCGAGATTTCAAAAGCAGTGGTGGAAATGTCTGCAGGAAAACCCTGAATCCTGAAAATCAAGGAGGCTACTCAACAAGAAGCCAGAAAGAAACAGCAAAAGCCAGAATGCACAGAATAAAACCTCTGATTTAAGAATGGGCACAGAGAACAGTGTGTTTTACTGTGTGGTTTCTTTGACCTTAATCACAACAGCCCTAGTTCTCTCCTTGTCATTTTCCCCTGAGCGGACAGCATTAAATGGAAATCGGGCAAAGCTAATAAAAGTGTCATTTTCAGCTGCCCTTCAGGGATGGATGGAGCGTCCCAAAGTGAAGCTCTTTAACAGACTATGGGATTTCTTTTCCTTTCATTATTTGCACTTGCCCAAGGCTGTGCATAGCCCCAACAGGCCGTTAATACAATACGTCTTTTTATTAAGTTTCACTTTCTAGAAAAAAAAGGTTTACAGAAAGCTGCTCTGCAGCAGAGACGCACAATCCTGGTTTGAGAGCTGTGGATGGGAGGCCAAGTGGAAAGCTTTCCAGATAGTCTCTATGCTGACTGATTCTCTGGCATTCAGCAAGCCAAATGAAAAGGGGGTGAAAAAAACCCAACCAACCAAAACCAAAAAACAAACAAAAAAAAACAAACCCAAAACTTAGCACTTTTCAGTAAGAAACATTTTAAAATGGGACTTCACTTCTTAATTTTTTTACTATGAATAAAAGCACAAGTTTGTCCTAAATACAGCACTATTAAAATGTGAATATGTATTTCTTTTTCAAAAAAAAAAAAAATCTAAAATGTTGATATCTTTTCTTGCAAGCAAGGAGCAAATGGAAGAAAGTATTAGGCCACACAAATACACATTTAATTCATGTAGTAGATTGGTGGCTTTGGAAATGCAGTATTATATCAAAGGTGCATACTGTTTCAAACACACTGTACATATCATTGGGCAAGAAACAAAGATCTGTTGGTTTGTTTGAGACACTTGCAAAGGCATCTTAACCTGCCCAGATGCAGCTAGACAAAAATATCTTGCTCTATGTAGCCATATCACTAAACATATCTACACAAACATTCGGCTATGTCCACAGGTAAAGACTGAAAGTTTCCGGCCGCACTACAATGCGGAACAAGTGCATCATCTGACCTATTCTGAATATACTTTTATAAATATGTACAAATCAATTACAGGCACTTGAAATGTCTTTGGTTGGAATAAACCAACATTGCAAGATAATGTATTCACAGAGTGTTAAGACCCATTCTGGGTTCAGC